TAAAAGTAAATACTTGAATTTCATTGACTGTCAAGTTGACATTAAAGCAATAAAACTGTCCAGACAGCAAACAAATGACCTGAGCTTACTAGTCTAAGCCATGGCCCCAGTTAGGGGCAGACAGTGCATGCTAGTGCTATTTACACAGCCTTAACTGAGGGCTTTGGAAATGCTGTAGGGCCTAAGTCCTGTTACATAATGAGTAAGGCTGTCTAATATTGGTTTGGAGCAGGAAAAAGGGAACATTGTAGGTTGGATGTCCTGCAAATTCTCTGTCAGCTTCCATGTGATGTCCCTCTCCCTCTCTCCACGTCTCTCCAATTAGCCGACATGGAGCACAGGGAGGGAAGGAGGCCCCCACCAAACCTCGGCACATTGAACATTCCCCTGGACCCCTGCCAAGACTCACAGGCAGCAGCTCGCTGGGTTCAGCTTCGCTTCCCCCATCCCCCCGCTTCCATCATTGCCTGGCTTACCCTTGGTGGGGCCCCTAAGCCTCTGCCCCCTTCCATTGGCACACAAGTTGGACAACGAGGATGGGTGGGGGTGGGGGTTCCACAGACCCCCAAGCCTCCCCAACACCCATAGGACTCTTTGGTTACAACTTTCCTATACCTCTTCCACATGAAATCCCTGTGTGGCACAGAATAATGAACACAAGTTTAACCCATGTTTATCTTTGTACACAAGACTACTGGTCAGAAGCAAATATCTGGTACCTACCCTTCACACAGGACTGAAACAACACTTAAACCCTCCTCTAATGTAATACCATGTATTATTTCACCATTTAAAGGCAAATGCACCCTCTTACACACTTGCAATCAGGAAGTGTCGAATTGAGGGCTGAGAGTGTACTATGAGATAAGATTATCAGTATTATAACAAGGGATCACTGTCTCATACTGAAGCAGATCAGTGTCAGACCTGTGGCGAACTCTCTAGACCATACAGACCCAGGCTGGATAAACTGCAGAGCAAGTTACATCAATGGCAACACAGGTTTTTCCTGAGACATTATTTCACAAGAAAGAAAATCCCAGACTCAACCAGTCTAGTACACAACAAACTCTTGACATACCGTAAAAATGATAAAAACACAGAAAACCTTTCCGTGTCAAAGTCATGCTGGGAACTAGGAAATGTTAATGACATACTGATACTGGTTTGTTTACAAACTAAGGATACTTAAACTATTTCTGGCTTCCTGGCTATCTATTGTTACTATTGCCAACACCACAGTCAACATACACCCCACCTCTTGTTGGTTTGCACACACATACACAAACACTCTTCATTTAGTACAATGGCCACACCAAACACAACTGCCTGGCAAGTCTTTATCCTGCCCCCCTCGACTTCAAAATAGCCATCCAGAGAGCAGAGGAAGAGGGTAATGGCTTTTGGCAGCCTCCCATTGAATCCAGCTGATTCTACTGTCAGCGTCCCCCCCTACTGGAGCAGCACCCTGCGGTGGTGTTAAGTGTGTTATCTATCAGGGCTGTGCCAGTTGTTTGAAAAGCCTCATAATCACAGACTCAGTAACTACCGTGGTCAGACCTGGTCTAAGGTCAATGATGGGGGGAAAAGGGATAGGCAACACAGGCCACTTTTCCAAAGCACGACTAAGTGGGAATTACCAAGGTCAACACGAAATGTCTGACAAAGAATAGAAAGAACTTTTTGTTTATTTGAAACTACTGTAGAGAAACAAAAATGCAAAACGGAAGGACCAAAAGTGTGTGTGGGGGTAAAAGTGTCAGGCCCATTCCAGTTACATTTGGCCCTGTAGTGGAAACCAGGCTAATGATGGCAACCTGAGGACTGGGCTAGTGTTGTTATTCTGTCTTTATAGGGTCAGACAAGAGGAAGCAAGCTTTGTGTTTCCTTTTAAACAAATGATCCTGCCTCTTCAGTGATAAGGGGCTGCAGATGGAGTCACTGCCAGGGTTTGTCCTCATGGCTTTGTTACAATACGCTCTAATCAAAACAATGTCTAGATGCCAACAGCCTACAGCCTATTTGGATCCAGAGCCAACATGGGTTATGGGTTTCCTGCTAGTGCGCTGCCAAAATGACAAAAGTAGTAATATATTTCATTGAGTCTAGGCCCCAGTGAGAGACTGAATTTCTCATTTTGGGTCTTTTTCTGCACTGGGACAGAACCAATTATACACCTCAAGATTGAGAGAGAATTCTGTGTTCTGCATTTTCTGTGGCTTGATTTGCAGATGTTCTCATAGATTGGTAGACATTGCTATCCATACTCTGGTGTCATTTATGGAATCCCTTAGAAAAAAAAATAACAAAGTCTAGCTTTTATACACCTCTATAGACTCTGAAGATTTTTAAAAGGGTTAAAATAAGAGAGGCACAGTTGACATCTTTCTTGCAACGTAATGCGTCTTGTCTCGGGGTAACCCCAGCGCTGGTGACCTAATGCTCAGAGAAACTCCAAATTTGCCCTAGTGCCCCCCAGATGAGCCATCTGCTGTGGCTGTAATGGTAGCCATGGTGCTAAAGCAGTTGTGTCTGGGAAGGGTTAAGCCTAACTATACAGTATTTCAGAAAACTAGCAGACTCCCTCCTCCTCTTACCAGGCTTTAGGTCTTTCTTCTCTCCCTATTCACTTGTTTTACATACACACCAGAGGGCCCCTGCAACATCTTTTCACAGCCACCCTCTTACTGCGTGCTTGTCAGCCTTTTGGAAAGATGAGCGTCTGTATAGAAGGGGGGACTCTTGATCCTGGGTAAGAACAGGGCTCTGTGTGTGTGTCTGTGAGTCAGCTGGGTGTCTAGGGCATGCAGGAGGCAGCTCACAACCTGATTAACAACTGCAAGGCATTAACCAACTGCCAGGGCTTTTGAGCTCGACATAAATGGTCACACACTCCCATGGCAAAAACGACAGGCATTCCACGTGTGTCGCCACTGGCTGATTCAGACACAAACACACAACACTTTCAAAAGCACACTTAGATTCCCACACATGGCACAGACATAGATGCAAATGTGTGCAGACCATACACACAAATAAATGTATGTATGTGTGCCACTGCTGCTCACGCGCATTTTTCATTTCATCACCTCAGTGGTGTGTGACGATAGAGATAAGACAGTGGTGACAGAGATGTCGGGGGGGGGTAAGGAAAAGGGGGTTTGAAATTGAACGGGAAATTATGTACTTCAATTAAGACACGCGGAGGAGATATTAAAAGCTATACTCCAGTGCCTGGGGACAGGATGCAGGAAGGGGGATGCAATGGAAGGCGACAGTTCAATCAGAATCCCCGGCTCTCTCACCGAGCCGCGGGATGGAAGAGAGGAGGGAAGAGAGACAGGACAGCTATGTTTAATAATGTACTTCGACTTAGTGTAGTGGAATGTACAATAGTGTGCAAGATACATGATGTGATAAAGCTACAGAATGAACCAAAGAGGAATGACAGTCAGGAAAAAAATCTGAATACGCAAAACAAAAACATTTAACAAAAGTATACCGTTCTGCTGTCATAATACAGTTCTACTCTGCCAGCAATCAGCCTATAAACAGCACTGTGCGATCAAAAAAGCCTACAACCACACCATTACTTTCTAATAACTACGCAGACATTGAAAAAGGCAAGGTACTGCTTGCAGTCAGTTCAAGAAATCATCACATTACACGCTCACATGTACAGAGTGTGCTCCAGTCCACTCAGCCAATCATGAAAGAGCTATGATATAACACAAAAGTTCCCAACATTTTCACATCAAGACCTCTCAAATGAACACATACTCAAGTTAAGTCAACCTCATAATGAACATCCAAAGCAAAACAAGGGTAAATACCTCTGATCAGTCATTCCTGTAGGGTTTTCTCATCGACCCAACATCACATAAAACCCTTCTGAATTTTGCAGGGGACACCCTCAAAAACCCTTTAGTGGTTTGGGTGCACACTTAAAAGGCTGATGTTTCTCACATTAATATAATAACCCAGCCTTATTTCTGGAAATATACAACATGAATTTGAAGAAATCATGGCACCAAAGATAAGCACAGATAATTGTTAATGAACGCTTCAATGATGTGGCATTTGCTTGTTGGAGTATTAATGCTGTAGTTAAGTAACAGGGTTTAATTGAGTTGCATCACAGAGGCAGAGTTAATGTTTTGAAAATAATGAAGCTACATAGTTCATTATTTTTGCTTATTTATTTGACATTGCAGCTATAATCTGCCCACTTATCTGTTGCCGCTGCTATTTTGATATCCAAACGCTGATCAGAAATAACATTCATCCATTTACCACATGATGAGAGTAGGTATTCACTTGAAACTCACCTTACGTTAACCACAGCTTTGGCAGCTTTCAATGAAGAGTCGGTGCATGGCAGAAAAAAGATGCAGAAAAGCATTCTCCGACGTCTTTTCTAAAGTTACCCGTAAAGAGATGGAGCAGAGACTCAGTCGCAATTTAAGTCAGACTTTGCAGATAAGCCGACTGCTGCTGGAGCAGCTTGGTGACAAGATACCGAGGTAAACAACGGCTACTCAGCCAGATATAACGTTACACACAGCAAGTACGGTAATGTATGCTTTGAGCTAAAAGAAAAATAATGAAAATTTCTGTGATATTACACTCGCAAAAACAGTTTGTTTAAACGTCACGATATAAAGGGGGGCGGGGAGGGGAACGGAGCACCACTAACAACAAAAACAAAAAACGAACACGGATAAAATGACTTTTAAAAGCAGCTAAATTGTGTAACCTAACGTTAGCTGGTTGGCGTTGTAAGTCGTCAACCGTTGCAAGGTTTTGCAAACCAGAGAAATCAGGCAGCTTTCGTTAAAAATCGCCGATGAGTTCTCGCGTATTACAGCCGACGGCCGTCAGCCAGCCAGCCAGCCAACTTGTTTTAAAGTGCAAAAGAAATGTTTTTGTTTAGGTCGCCAGCTGGACGACTAGCGACGGGCTGGCTACCGCGAATGCAAAGTGAGAAACGACTCCAGGGAAATACATTCTGTGTGGATCCCGACAGCGGAGCGGACAGTCATGGTAGGCGTTCAGTGAGCTCTCGTTGACAGTGGTCTCGCAGCCATTTTGTTCAAACTAACAACACCGCAGTCTCCCTCTCCTCCTCCCAGTGAGCAGACAGACCAGGAAGTGGCTCCAGATACGTCACTCCCGACCAACCAAAACACCAGACGCTAACTCCACCCGCAGCCCTCCGGTCCGCCCTCCCGCGCTCTCCAAACCTCCCCACGGCCACAGAGGGTGGACAGACCGGCAGCTCATATTTCCAAGGTAATTGCTGAAGCACGCAGCAAAGACTGTGCGCTTAAAAAAGAAACAAATGTGACTCTGTTGTAGATTTTGGGAGGATGATACTACACAGCAAAATATGAAACACATAGAAAATTCAATTGTAATGCTGTAGAAGTCATGTTTGAAGATGACAGGAATTTTGTATTTAAATACCAAGTAAAACGTGGTTGCTATTCATGTTCTATTAAGTGTTACATACGCTATGTATTAAATATTCACTTTTGCTGCTAGCAGTGGTGGAAGAATCTAGATGCTTTATTCAAAGCTGCTAATCAATATTTAAGCTTGTAAGTATTTCTAAACTCAATGTTTTGGGTTTAGTGCTCATAACTTTATTGTTTTAGTTTATTCTTGCCACTGTCATCAGTGGCCCATTGTATGCTACCTGCCCAGCACCAAATGGCAAACAGGCAGTGTTACTAGTGACTAGTTGGAAAGCATCAGAGAATTTACCAGAGCCAGATAGTTCCCTCTTGGTAACCAAAACGGAGCAATAGGAGAGTAAATTGTATGACTAACATTCATCAAGTGGACACAAACAGAGCCCCATAATGAATGCTGCGGTTGTTCTCTGTCTGATTGTTGTGTAAATAAGCCACTATTTTCTAACACATTCACCTTATCAATGTTATTTGGGGACAATATGCCAGTGTTGTGTTTACATTCCTGCCCTGCCTGTAAGTGGCCAAAAAATTATTAATGCAGCATTAAGAAAAAGTAGCAACATGTCAATGTAAAAATACAAAAAATTACAAGTGAAAGGTCTGTATTAATAATTCTGATGTTCCATATATGGATGCAGATATAAGCAGCATTTTAATGTTGTAGCTGGTTTACGTGAAGCAAACTTTTTTAGACACTTGGGTATGTTAATCTGTTGCAATGCAAGTATAGTATAAAATAAGTACCTCAAATTGTACTCAAATAAATCTATGTAGTTAATTTTCACTACTTGGTCCTATGTGATATGGTTAGATAATATATCATAGAAATATAATACCATATTTCTTGTGACTCATGACCAAAATAACGCAAAAGAGTACAGAAATAGAGAAGACTCATAAAAGTCTACAAGCAATTTGGAACTTGCATCATGAACTTTACATAGCAGACTCAAATGTCTCTGAAAGGGCTCACCCCAAGTTTCTCTACCCAAGATGACCTTTGTCAAGAATCTCTTGATCACATGATGTCCAGAAACATGGGGCGATAATTCCAGGCCATTCACAAAATGATGGATGAGGTCGCCCTTGTGCCCTGAACCGCGTCTGCAGCCGTCTCAGAGAAAGAAAATGTGGCTCCTGTCCATTCTCTGCACTCCTTTCTCATGGAAATGACTGCTCCATGCACAGACAAACACACACAGACACACTCACACACTGTGCGGTGGGAACAGGTCAAGGCTGCGGTCCACAAAGGGGAAGACTGACCAGTGAGAACTCTCTCAGGAAAGCTCTGGGCTCCTATACATTACTGGGAGAGACTGTTAATGAGAAAGCCAGGGGCCCCGGCCAAAAGTTTTTTTTTCTCCTTTTCAAGGCAAGATGCCCTGAGCTATTAAAACAGCAAGCTCCAACTGAATGGAGAAAGCAGATGTTCCATACTCGGGGTTAAGAGAGGTGAGAGGAGAGGGGAATGCCTTGAGAAACGCCTTAAGGGATATGTAGTTCACTGTGGATCACAGACTATTAAACTATATGAAGGAATTTTCTGTTCATTCATGTCACCTAAATAAATGATGTTCCTAGTAAACATTTTTTTCTCAGAGTTAATCGAATGTGCTGACTTGAAGCATTAATGCAGTTATTTATTATATCATGGAAAGTAAAGTACCTACACTACTTGTAGTTTAAATCTCCTTCATGTAGACTCGCATGAATTATCAGAGATGGAGATGGAAATCTGTGCACCACAAAGGACAACTGAGACTTGAAATAGCAATAGTGGTTTGACATGATATTAGCCATCAAAGGTGAGAACTACTTAGCTGAGTGTGTATTAATGTATGCGCCAAGACAAAAGACAGGGAGAGTGTGTGTGTCTGCATGCACACATGAACATGTATTTATGTGTACGCGAGTGAGCGCACATCCTTCCTTGTTCACATCCATTCTCCAAACTCATCACAGCTATTCTTTTAGGTGTCTCTGAGATGTTTCTTTGACTCCGCCAATTTCCCTAATTGCTTTCACATTTAAGAAGGCTGCTAACAGAAGCAAGCCAATGGGAAAGGTTCGCCTGACATTCTGATAAGAAACAGCCCAGACACAAGCAGCAGGACTGCAGCAGAGGCAATCGCTCACTCCTTCCCCTTTCAGACAATACACTTCTCCTCCAGCTGCTCTAGCCATTTTCTTTCCTTCTCTCCTCTTCTCTCTTCTGCTCTCCTCTCCTCTCAATTTTTTCAGCATGCTCTTCTGCCTTTTGTTTTAATTCCAGTCCAATCATGAGCTGCGTTCCGCATAAGGTTTTAATTTCAAGCCTGCCACCAGAGTCTGCCAGACTCACACACACACATATGCACAAATTCACACAACACATGCATGTTCATACACCAAACCACAGATACTTATGTGCACCATACACACACTCACTTTACGCTCAGGTCACAGATACACATACACACATACTTATGTGTTACGTGGCTACATGCATATTTAATGCATGTGCTCTGTGGCTACATTTTATCATTTAAACATGTTTCCCATGAGAGAAAGTATTTCCATCCAGAAACATTAATAATCACACACATTCATAAAAGGCATACAGATCACCAGACAAATTGCATAAAAAGAATCCCATCAGGCTATATTTTTTGCTTTAGAAGTCAAAATATATTTAATATCTTATGACAGACCAGCTGAATTTCTAGAATCACCAAACAATTTTTTAGTACTCAAAATCTATTTTTTGCTTTACTCTAAGATTCAAAGACCTCTCCAAATGCATCATCTTAACATTTAATCTTGTGGAATTAACCAAACAAACGTGATCTGACGATTATCCACATATTTCATGACAGCACTGAGTCCAAAAGCAGATCTTGGATTTAAATCGTCATTCCCTAGACACTGTATTCTGGAGGAGGACATTTATAGTTTGCTGTGCGATGCAGAATGACTGATGAGTTGGGGGTGTCGGTATTATGGTATTGATTATGAATACACAATCTTCCTCCACAGTCTGGACTTTATGCATGTGAGTAATCAAAATGCAGACAGCGAGCTACTGCTGCTGCCTCAAAGTGACATTTCCAAAGGCATGACTTGACATATGCAAAAGGACCGTCATGATGATAATTCTGACAGAGGAAGGAGCCAAATGAAACCTTCTCCCTAACTGCACATCAAGAAGAATGTTGCGCAGCAAGTCTCCCAATCCTGCTACTTAAAGGCAAAATGTGCAAAGAGTAGCGGTGCAATTGAGCTGAAACATTCATTGTGAGTTTTTCTCACTCTGATTAGCAATGTGACTGAAGTGCCTATCCATTAAATAACAGTGGAGATTGGTAAAGCCCCGCTGAGTTGCTCATTGCTCATCTCCAAGGTCTGCAGCATTGCAATGAAAGACTGAAAGTAGCTGAAGGCATGGTAGGCATAGTAGTCCATAAGAGCACTAGCGTTAACTTTTCATTAACTTTCATTAAGACTAAAGAGTGAATTACCCTGCACAGAAGAGGTCCGACACATAAAAGCCATTACATAGGGATACACACAGTCCCGTGCACTAAAACACACATGCATAGATGTACATACAAACATGGGTGCAATTGTTGTTATATACGTTGTTCATAAAAGCATACAGACGCACCATTAGTTTACTTCCTGCACACAAATGCAGTAAAGACCTTGGCAACAATATGCCTCTAAAGCTCCATATACTGCTGTATGTCTGAATAGTACATAATATATTATGGGGGAAGCACAATAGCCAGAAGAAACAGTGTATGCAGCAGCTGGTAAAGGGGCAATGCTATGGGTGGGGAAGGGGTTACACAGACTCTGTGTGAATGTGCTGGTGTTCTTGTGTGCACGGGTGTGCACGCATGCTTGTGTGTGTGTGCGTGTGTGTGTGTGTGTGAGAATGCATGTCTACAGTACATGTGTGTGTATTTGTGTGTGTCCATATGTGTGTGCTGTATGGGTGGAGGGAGGCAGAGCAAAGCGGAACGTTGCAGTGCAGTAGGACAGCGTTTCTGAGCTGTGGTAATTTCCCCTGAGACAAGCGAGCAGGTAAAGGCCAGCGAGAGAGGGAGGGTGGCAGAGAGGGATAGAAGAAGGCTGGGATAGAGGGAGGGAGGGAGGGAGAGAGGCAGCAAGCGAGTGTGTCAGAGAATAATGAGAAATGATACAGCGGTGGCAGAAAAAGAGGCCGGCAGATTCGCCCAATCAAATGCACACACACTGCATTAACAGCATCTCAAGGATGAATATAGTAGCTCTCTCCGTCAACACATTAACATGAACGTTTCTATTTTCATTTCAAATGCCTTATCTTGTTAATGAGTGTTTCTGAACTGAGTCATTGTTTTTGTAATGAATTCATCTATTAATTACAAGTGCGCCTTTTCGTGATGACCTTGCTTTATTTTGTTACAAGCTGCAGACCTTAATATTAGCATACATTAAGCCCTGCTTATCTTTCATCCCCAATAGCTAATACGTCAAATTATCACCTGAAAAAAACACATCAACCACAATAGTGGTTTGTATACTGGGATTTGTGTGCGTGTGTGTGTGTGTGTGTGTGTGTTTGTGGGTGAGCACCCTCACTTATTAGCCCCTTCCCCCTCCCTACTTGCAAACTCATTACCAGGGTATAAGACCTGCATGGATTTTATGGTGTTTTTGGAACTGACTGGTTAATCAGATTTATTGCACACTTAAGCTTAATTGATTGCCTTTATGGATTCAAATGAATAATTAAGTGCTAACAAGCCTAGTTTCTGTTTCATCATTCTGAAATGATGATAATGACCC